CTATTCAGGTTTGCCATAGGTATAGCCATGATTTCATAACGTACAGAGTCCCTGAGTCAGAGTTGTGAGACCTGGGACCATGCAGACAGCCACCCAGAGGCTAAACGATCCCTTGTTGTGGAGAACACTTTGGAGGATCGCAGTGTGCTGCCTGTGGAGCACCCTCCCGCCTCAGGGCCTTTGCACATGCTGTGGCCTTCGCAGCCTCTATGCTGGCTCCTCATCATCCAGGTTTAGGATAAATGTCACCTTCTCAAAGAATCCTTCCCTGAGGCTGGGTGTGGCGGGTCACGCCTGTAATCCTAGCACTTTGGGAGGCCAAAGTGGGAGACCAGAAGTTCGAGACTGGCCTGATCAACACAGCAAGACCCTGTCTCCACGAAAAAGTAGCTGGGTGTGGTGGTGAGCACCTGTAGTCCCAGCTACTCAGCCGGCTGAGGCAGGAGAATCGCTTCAGCCCAGGTGTTTGAGGTTGCAGTGAGCTATGATGACACCACTGTATTCTACCCCGAGCAATAGAGTGAGAACATGTCTCAAAAAAATAATAAAAAAATAAAAATAAAGAGAATTCCTCCTTGATCACTCTAACTAAGAAAGTAACCTTCCTGCACTAAGTCCCATTACTCTTTTATGGTCTTCCTCTCATTACCCTCTGACGTTAACTTATCTATTTTACCTTATCGTCAGACCCCTCTCTGGAACATAAGCTCACTAAGGACAGACAGCTGTCTCCCCACTGTATCCCTAGCCCGGCCTGGCACAGGACAGAGGCTGAGCTATTCATGGGCGGATAAATGAAGACACTCAGGCCTTGCACTCAGTCAATCAAGGCACAAAGAGGCTGAGTTTGCCCAGGACTGCGGGCTCTCAGCCCTCACATGCCATGGCCTCATTTGCATCCGGCATGTGGCTGTGGGGTCCTAGTTCAAGTGGAGACATGGAGACACCAGAGGGAGGTACCACCTCCCGGACCCTCATTCTAGCCTGACCCGCCCTGGGGTCCACGTGGTCCACCCAGAACCTCTGTGTGGGGCTGGGGCTAGCCAGCTGGAGCGTGGCTAGGAGATCTATCAGTCTACCAGAGACTGTGTGCAGGGAGCCTCCTGCGCCTCCACCCTCGGCCTAAGGTGCGAGCGGAGTGCTTGAAACCTGCTGCTGGGGAGTGTGCTGGGACGAGCCGGTGAGACAAGGCCTGGGGGTGTCCTCCTTGGCCAGCTGTCCTGAAGCCTTCTCCATGGCACTTACTGGGAGGCGTAATGTCTAAATGTCTAACCCTGAATGGCAATTTATGATTTCACACTGAAAAATGTCATGGACACACAGTGTGACAATCCAATTTGCTGATTAACATGACCCTCCCTCCCTGATGGCCAGTGTTTCCTCCTCTCCTCTCCTCTCCTCTCCTCTCCTCTCCTCTCCTCTCTCTCTCTCCTCTCCTCTCCTCTCCTCTCCTCTCCTCTCCTCTCCCTCCTCCTCCTCTCCTCTCCTTCCTCCTCTCCTCTCCTCTCCTCCTCTCTCCCTCCCTCTCTCTCCTTCTCCTCCCTCCCCTCCCTCCTCCTCCTCCTCCCTCTCCTCTCTCCTCCCTCCTCCTCTTCTCCTCTCCTCTCCTCCTACCTCCTCCCTCCTCTCTCCCTCCTCTCCTTTTCTTTTCTTTTCATGAAGCCTCACTCTGTCGCCCCAGCTAGAGTGTAGTGGTGTCATCATAGCTCACTGCAAACTCTCTGGCTCAAGCAATCCTCCAGCCTCAGCCTCCCGAGTAGCTGGGACTACAGGTGTGCACCACTGCACCAGGCTGATTTTTCTATTTTTTGTAGAGACAGGGTCTTACTATTGTTCAGGCTGGTCTCGAACTCCTGGTCTCAAGCGACCCTCCCGCTTTGGCCTCCTCGAGTGCTAGGATTATAGGTGTGAGCCACCTTGTCTGGATGCTAGTGTTTAAAAAGGCATGCTCTGTGGCCCCTCCACCATAAACCATGAGATAGTTGTTAAAAAAAAAAAATCAGATTCCTAGCTAGCCCAGGCTTGCTGGATTGGAATCTCTGCAGTGTGTCTTGAAATCTGCATTTTTCTCAAGTCTAAATAACTGGTGCAACATCATACAACTAGTAATTGATGGGGAAGGATTCAACCCTGACAGCTGGGCCTCAGAGCTCATGCTCCTTTTAGCCAGTGGTGCCTCTCAGTGTATCACAAGTCTGCATCTGTCTGCCCTCCTGGAGAACTGCACAATCACCTCCCTGACTTTCATTTTTGCCCATTCAACAAACTGGTTCAGTTCACCTTTTTTCTTTGGTTGCATGTGGCGAAATCTGTTGCAACTATGCAAGTCTGTCTGTCTCCCCGGTAAGCTCCAAGGCCAGGAAGTTATTCAGGTTACTTCTGTATTCCTGGAAGCCAGGACAAGGCTTGGCCCAGACCAACGCAAGTCTCTGTGGGTTGCAAGAAGGACATATTCATCCAACCAATACTTCTTGGGTCTACCACATGCCATGCCTTTTCTAGGTATTTGGAATTCAGCAGAATAAATACAGACAAAAATCTCTTCCCTCAAGGAGCTTATATTCTATGAGGGAAACATACATATGAAATGATAATAGCTGCTGTAAGGCTTGCTGGGAAGTAAATGAAACAGACTAAGTTTAGAGAGAAAGGTAAAAGCTCTGTGGGCTGAAGCAATCAGGGAGGACTTCCTGTAAGAGGACTCATTGGCATCACATTTCTTATTGTTGAAATCACCTAAAATAAGATCTCTTGATGATTTTCTCCCCAGAGCCTCATTGCCCCGGCCAATGCTGAGAGCAATCAGGGAGGACTTCCTGCAGGAGGCCTCATTAGCATCACCTTTCTTATTGTTGAAATCATGTAAACTAAGATCTCTGAAAGATTTTCTCCCTAGAGCCTCATTGCCATGGCCAATGCTGAGGCCCTGATATATCAGGCACTGTTCCCATTGTTCACAGTGTCTTGTCCAGGGTCTGCAGGGAAGGTGTGGGAGTAGAGAAATGAGCATGGAGGTGCAGGGGGATAATTAGTAGTAGTAGTGTTATTTCTTTTCTTTTCTTTTCTTTTTTTTTTGTTTGAGACAGAGTGTCACTATGTTGCTTGGGCTAGAGTGCCGTGGCATCAGCCTAGCTCACAGCAACCTCAAACTGCTGGTCTCAAGCGATACCCCTGCCTCAGCATCCCAAGTAGCGGGGACTACAGGTACACACCACCACGCCCGGCCAATTTTTCTATTTTAGTAAATATAGTCTCACTTTTGCTCAGGCTTGTCTTAAACTCCTGACCGCAAGCAATCTTCCCACCTTGGCCTCCCAGAGTGCTAGTAGAATTACAGGTGTGAGCAACCATGCCCGGCCAGTAGTAGTGTCAGTTCAAGCAAAATCTTTGGTTGTTCTGGAATCCAGTCCTGACCTGCTTCTTTTGCTTTTCTTGGGTTGCATTATCTTAAGCAAATTACTTGATCCTTTGAGCCTCAATGATTGCATCCTGTAAATTGAAAATAATAAGCCTAACTAATAAGGTTGGTGTGAGGATTAAATACTTAACTCAGGCAAAGGAGGAGAGGTCATTATTGCTATTTTGCAGAGAAAATACTCCCAAATGGTCTTTACCCAGGATGAAGGGCATGGTAGAAAGAGAACCATCCTGAGGACATTTGAAGCCCAGGGAAGCTTGGTGGATTCCTTGATCCTCAGTTTCCTGTTCACGTTATCTGAAAGAAGTAATCTGACCTCTCTGAGCCTCCATTTCCCTATTGAAGAATGAGGCTAATAGCTCCCTGTCAGGGTTATTGTAAATTTAATGTCACAGATTAAAAATCTAGAATTCGATGCATGGCACTTAATAGGTGCTAAATAAACATTTCCATCCCCTCTTCCTTTTCCCTCCCCCACCTGGCCCTGGAGGCAGTGAGATAACAGGAAGGAAGTCTCCCTCGGGGTGACAGGGTCCTTTGGACCTTCACTCTCACCTTGCCACAGTGTCTGAGACAGGAGCAGACCCACCCAGTTCCGGTCCCACCCCCTAGTTCCTTGGGCCCCAAGCTAAAGGTTCTCTACTTAGCCGAGGGAGAGAGGCTGGCTGCCTCGGGAAGTCTTTGCCAGGTCTGCCTGTATGAGGCCAGGAGAGGACAGGAATTATTCTGAGGCCCCGTGGCCAGCTCATTCTGGACCCTGAGTTGATGTGTAGCTTTTCCAATTTAAGTTCCAACTGTAGGGTGACCACTCCCAGGATTCCAGTCCCAGCTGGTTGTTCCCGGGCTCAGGCCAATATAGCCAGCATCTCCACCTGGGTGTCTGTCTATGAGGACAATGCACTCACTTCCTATTGCTGCTGACCACACACTTAGTGGCTTAGTGGCTTTGTCCACAAACTTAAACAACACAAATGCATTATTTTACAGTTCTGGAGGTCAGAAGTCCACAATGGGTTTTTGCTGGGCTAAAGGCACCATGTCAACAGGCTGGTGTCCCTTCTGGACGCTCTAGGGGAGAAGGCAATTCCTTACCTTTTCCATCTCTGCATTCTTTGACTCATGGTTCCCTTTGTCCATCTTCAAAGTCAATTCAAAACGGCTTGATTCCTTCTCACATTGTATCACTCTGACTCTCCTGCCTCCCTCTTTCATTTATAAGGCCCCTTGTGTTTACACTGGGCCCACCAGGAAAATCCAGGACAACTACCCCACCTCAAAATTCCTGATATAATCCCATTTGCCATGTAAGGCAAATATTCACAGGTGCCGTCTTTAGAGGACATTATTCAGCCTGCCACCACCAACACGGCACATCAGAACTCTTAATTTTGCTGCCCAAATCTGCTCTTCCTCTATCTTCCCCCATCTCAGGAAACTGCACCCCCACCTACCTACCATAAACTTGAGGGACCTCTGTGACTCCACTTTCCCTGGTGCCCCACCCTGGCCACACCCGCTGCATCTGCAAGTCTTGTCTGTCCACCTCTCTCAACTTCCTTTTCTGCTATCCTTGTCCAAGCCACCATCATCCCCCACCTGGACCATGGCAGTCACCTCCTAACTGGTCTCTGCTTCCACTCTATCCTCCCTACAGGCCATTCTACAAGCGGGTATTGATCTTTTATCATCACCCTGCTTAAAACCTTCCCATGGCTTCCCATCTCCATTAGAATCAACTCCAATCTCTTCTCCAGGGTGAGCAAGGAAAGCCTCATGTAACCCAGCCTTGCCAATATCTCCCAGCTCATCTCCTACCCCTCTCACTTGCCCACTAAGTTCCAGCCATACTAGCATCCATGAATAGTCAAACAGGCTACGTTGGTTCTGGAATATTCCTTCCCTGATGCAGATGTGGCTGGCTCATTTTGATCAACCCATCATCAGTTCAAATGATGCCTTCTCAGAAAGGCCTCTTTGGGCTCCAGTTTTTTGATTTTTTTTTTTTTTTTTTTTTGAGACAGAGTCTAACTTTGTTGCCCAGGCTAGAGTGAGTGCCATGGCGTCAGCTTAGCTCACAGCAACCTCAATCTCCTGGGCTCAAGCGATCCTGCTGCCTCAGCCTCCCGAGTAGCTGGGACTACAGGCACGTGCCACTATGCCTGGCTAATTTTTTGTATACATATTTTTAGTTGGTCAATTAATTTCTTTCTGTTTTTAGTAGAGACGGGGTCTTGCTCTTGCTCAGGCTGGTTTCGAATTCCTGACCTTGAGCGATCTGCCCACCTTGGCCTCCCAGAGTGCTAGGATTACAGGCGTGAGCCACCACACCCAGCCTGGCCTCCAGTTTTAATGGCCTTCCTTCTTCCCCAGCCCCTGCCATGGAAGCTGGCTTTGCTACGAGTTTATTTGTGTTTTACCTGTCTTTGCCACTAGAAAGAAGCTCCCTGACAGCAGGGAACTCATTGATGTTGTTTGCCTCTGAATTCCTAGCACCTGAGCCAGTACTTGGCACATAGTAAGTGTTCAGTAAATCAAATACAGATGAATGGGATTTAGAGAACAACAACAACAACAAAAAAAATGACCGTTCTTGATTTATGTCCACAGAAGCCTGGAATCTGAATGCTTATCAATCTGCTCCCCTTGGATTCATTGAGCCTACTATATGTTACTTTAGGGGAGACAGATGGGGAGAAGCCAGCCTCGCTACTTCCAGGAGCTCCCAGCCCAGGAAGGAGGACCAAGCCAAAAGGAAGGTAAAGCTCAGGGCTCAAACACAAGGCCTTTCTGGTACCCTCTGCAGAGCAGAAAGCTCAGAGCCCTCAGAGCTCAGAGAAGATGCTATTTAAGTGGGTTGGGAGCTCGCAGGCTCAAGGTCCAGAGAGAGTTGTCACAGCTCTTCCTAAGAGGCCATCACAGTTATTTCAAAAAACTTCTGTCTGAGCAACACAAGCAGCCTAAGGTCCAACTTTTGCCCCAAGTCATTTGCAATCTTGCTGTGGGGACAAGCAGCAGAGTGCATAGCAAGGTGTCAGAAGGGAGGCAGTGCCAGGACTGCTTCAGAGCTCAGGTTTGGGGTCAGGCAAGCCTAGATCCATGTCCCCACTCTGCCACTGGCTGCTATGCCTCAGTTTCCTTATAAGAATTTTACCTCCTTCACCAGGTTGTTGTGAGACTTAAAGGAAGACAATAAATGTACGGTGCTCAGCACAGAGCTCTGCACTCCATAAGTGCTTGATAAAAGGCAGCTATGATTATTAAAGTAATCAGATGGGCACCAGGTGGGACTCCTAGTGTTTTTGAGACTCCAGAGAGTTACAGGAGGGCTCAGTGTGGCCAAAAGGAGTCTCAGTTACAGACAATCCACAGGGCCAGTGTATTTCTAGGTGGGGTCTCCAGCAGACCACCCCAGGAGACAGTGAGGCAGAGGTTCTGTGTTGGGACACAGACATATATGTAGGTTAACAAGCTCCTCCAGTGGTATTTAGGCCACTCAGGACTGAGAACCACTGTATTTAGTGTGGCCATACCCAGCAGGCCAGAGGCCCTGGGGTTTTGCCTTTCAAAGCAAAGTAGCATTTGGAGCCTTCCTTTTGGAAGCACCATGCAAGGCTGAATGCCTGAATCTTGCCTTTGGTTTCCTGGAGTGGGGCTTTGCGACATGCAGTCAGAGGAACACCTGGTTTGCAGGTCCCTGAGGGCTACGAAAATGCAGATTCCTGGAACCTACAAAGATGTGGTCCAGAAACCTACAGAGGCGAGCTCCTGCGAACTCTGGCTCACTCTGGCCCTGCTTGGGTGCTTTCCCCCATGATCCCACCTTCTGTGCTCCTCTGTCTTCCAAGGCCCAATGTCATCTCCTCTGTGCTACTGGCTGCCAAGGCTGAGCCAGCCCTCTCACCCTGTGTCCCCCATCTGTAACTGCACTTGTATCACCGTACTGTGGGCTCCCCTCCCAGCACGAGCTCCCTCCCCTGCACGCCTGCATCCATTCATCCCTCTAATCTCAGCTCCCAGTAGGCTGTGCTCCCTCAGCAGGTGCTCCATGAATGTTCCAGGTATTCATCTGGGGGTTACTCTTTCTCCCTTCCCCCATCCCTCATTATATCAAGGATTTCGAGAAGGCATGTACATCTAAACACCAGCCTTGCACTACAACCAGCCTTCAGGAAACATCTGGTGAAATGAAAGTTCGACTCTCCTGTTGTGATGAAGTCCAGACCGCCCATGGTTCCTAGTAATTAAGGAAGACTGAGCTATTCTCACAGAATCAAGATCAACAATTTCCTGACAAAGCAGTGTTTTTACCTGCTGGTGGAGTCCTACTAAATGACTGGAAATGACCTGCCTGCCGCTTCCCAGCCTTTGATGTATGGCCCCCCAGGGGAAGCCAGTGGGAGCCAGTGCCTGGAACCAAGATCAAGGACCGCTTGGTATTCCTCTCCCTGACTATGACCTGGAAACTCCACCAGCTAAACACTCATTACGTTTCAGCTAGGAGCCAGTGGCTTCCCATCTGGCCTAGAGTAAAAGCTCAAGTCCTTAGGACGCCCAACAGGCTCTTGCCATCTCCCTCTCCACCACCTCCCCATGCTCCCTCTTCTTGTTATCTTTCTGACAGTTGCCTCTCCTGCAACTCTTCTTAAGTCTAGACTTGGGTTTCTCAACCTTGGCATTCTCGACATTATGGGTGGGTTAATTCTTTGGAGAAGAAGGAGTGCATTGTAGGATGTTGGACAGCACCTCTGGCCTCTACCCACTGGACCCTAGCAGCACCTCCCCCGACCCCACCGAGTTGTGACAACCAGAAATGTCTGCAGACATTGCCAGGTGCCTCCTGGGGGGAGAGGGGCAAAGTGGCTCGCTGTTGAGGACCACTGGTCTAGACCATTCCATCCAGCCCTGCTGCCCTCCTGACTGTTCTACTCCAACCTCCAATTCTTTGCACTTGCCCTTCCCTCTGCACGGGTCTCTCTTGTGCTTCTTCCAGGTCTGTACTGTCATCCGTTCAGTGAGACCTTCCCCACCACCCTGTGTAAAATTACAACTCATCCCCGTAGTTCTTGAAACCCTTCCTTGCTTAAAATTTCTCCATAGCATTTATCACCATTCAGCACACCACAAGTCTTACTCATTTTGGGCGTCTGTCTACCTCCCACAGAATGAAGATGAGATTCTGTTTGTTTGATGTTTTGTTTTGTCCATGGCCGTATCCCTGGGCTTAGAACAATGACTGGCACAGAAAAGACACTTGATAAATATTCAATGGATGAGTGAAGGAATGAGACCGCTCTAATTCCTTCCCACCTCTGAAGCTCCTGGGTCGAGGGAGAAGGCAAACTTGTGCTACCTCTTCAGCTAATCCACGGCTCCGTGTTGGGGGTGGGGTGGGCTCTATGCTAGACCTTTTATTATTATTATTATTTTTTTTTAATTTCAGGATACGGGGGTACAAACATTTCAGTTACGTATATTGCCTTTGAATCACCCAAGCCAGAGCTACAAGTGTGCCCACCCCCCAGACAGTGCACTTCGCACCCATTAGTTATGAATTTACCCACCCACCCCTCACTTACCTGGCACCTGATGAATATGACTTCCATGTGTGTGCCTAAGTGTTGTTCAGTTACTACCTATTTGATGGTGAGTACATGTGGTGCTTGTTTTTCCATTCTTGTGATACCTCACTCTGAAGAATGGGCTCCAGCTCTCACCAGGATAATACAAGAGGTGCTAGTTCACCATTGTTCTTTATGGCTTAGTAGAACTCCATGGTATACATATGCCACATTTTATTATTCCACTCATGTATTGATGGGCACTTGGGTTGTTTCCACATCTTTGCAATTGTGAATCGTGTTGCAATAAACATGTGGGTGCAGATGTCTTTGCTATAAAATGACTTTGCTGGCCTTTAAGCACTGTACCTCCTCCCACACCAGGGTTATCCCTAATTGCCCTTTGTGAAAGAATACTGGAACATTCCATGGGGTAGGGGCTTTCAGAGCTGGCTATTAACAATCGGTCATTCCTCCTTCTCTTTCTTCCTCTCTCACATTCTTTTTATGACTGTATGTACCATAGGAATGCACCTACATGGTACCCTACCCTTTGGTAGGAAGCCTATGTTGACATGTATGCACAAATGTATATTTACATATATATTTCTTTTTACTTATAAAGTAATAATAATAGTTGGCCTTTTCTTGACTACTCACCGAATGCCAAATATTGTGATAAGTATATGGGTTCCCTCATTTAACCCTCCAAACCAACCCTATGAGGTCGGTTTTATATTACTGTCATCTCAGTTTTACAGATGAGCTGAAAGAGCTTCAATATCTAGTACAGAGACACAAATCTGAGTTTGAAGCCAAACAAGCTGGCTTGATTCCAGTATCCCCCGTCATTCCCAACTATAATAAATGCCTCTCTCAAAAGATATGCTCATGACCAGAAAGTCAAACAATAAAGAAAGTAAACAAGTAGAGCCCACCACATGCCCCAAAAGGAACTGCTGTTGGCTGATAACACTTTTGTACTAGCAGGATTTTTTTTATACCAGTAGAATGTACATAAGTATATAAAAAGAATGTATATAAGTATATAAACACACAAACACACACTCACATGCACCCACATAGTTAAGTGGGTTTTTTTCTTTTCCTATAGCAGTGGTGTCAGACTTTTTGTTCCACTTAATTTTTTCACTCTCTAATAATATATTTTGAACCAGACCTTTAGACTTCACTAAGTGGATGCCTTTTTTTTTTTATAAGCTTTAGATTAATGTTCTGGCTGCTGGGGCTGAGGATGAAGAGACATGATGAAGATAAGGCTGAACGGGTTTGGACTCTTACTGGTTCAGTAACTGCCTTCAGAAGGGGTGTTTGCTTGTTGCTGCTTTTGTCCTTTAGCTTAGCTGGCTTCAAGGTACCATCCCATTGGCTAAGAAATGAATAGACTTCCCTACTTGGATCAGGGGTCCTCACAGAAAAGCCCTCCTGGCCCCCCCAGGTAGCCGTGGAGACTGGGCTGATGGGAGCCAAGCAAGGCACTTCCATTCTTAGGATCCTTAGGGTTGGACTCACAACTCATGGCTCATTTTGCAGAGGTAGCCACTATGCTGGGTGCCGAGCTCAGGGCAGCAGTTCATTTAATCTGCACGGCCCCATCAGGGAGGTCTCACTGCCCCGTCTTACAGAGGAGAAGTAGGTGTTCAGAGATGTGAATAACTCACCCAGGATCACACAGCTAGTAAGGGGTAGAGCTGTCTCTTTCTTACTAAGGCCTCAAGGAATCAGAGAAGAAAGTTGAAGCTGCTTGAAGTCTGCTAAGGGGAACCCCCTTCTTCCATAAAAATGTAGCACAGTAACCCTGGGCTCTGACTGAGCTGGCTACAGGCCACACAGCAGGTGTGAGGGACTGGCTGACGTTCCCGGTTTCCAGACTATATCTGCTATAAAAGACTGCCAGGGAAGGGGTGGAATTAAATGGAGTGGAGTCAGCTCTGCATCCTGGTGCCCCACGGGCATTAGAACACCTGCCTTCCTGAAGAAGATTTGCCCAGGGCTAAGCAGAAGGAAGCTGCATAGCTATCGATAATAATCAAGGGTGGGGACCCTAATCTGTAACTCCCCTCAAAGAGAGCAGCCCTAGTGTGCAAATAGGGCTGCCCTGGGGGTGGGGGTAGACCCAGCCCCACATTTTTACCAACAGGGATGTCTTTGAATCTGGAGTCCCCCTTGAAATCCCTCCGCCCCATCTGCCAAAGCCACAAATGGAGCCATCCAAGTGCATTTCTTTTTCAGTCCATTCTTTTCTGTTAAAACAAACAAAACCCTCTGCTGGAAAAGGATGTTCCTTGCAGGACTGATTGTATTAGTGAAAAGTTAGAATCTTTCTAAATGTCCTTCAAGGAGAGACCCAGGGAAATAAACTATGCCAATTCCCAACCGTGGAATAGTCTGAGCTATGCCCTCAATAACGAACAAAGGGCATCCGGAAGATAACAGGGCCACCTAAACCTACTGGTGAATAAATAAAACCAAGTTGCAGAGTGATAAGCATAAGAAACAACTGAAAATGAGGAAAGACTAGAAAAAGAAGGCAGCCATGGGCAGCTCACATCTGTAATCCCACCACCTTGGGTGGCCGAGATGAGAGGACTGATCGTGGCCTGGAGTTCGAGGTTGCAGTGAGCTATGATGGTGCCCCTGCACTCCAGCCTGGGTGACAGAGGGAGGCCCTGTCTCAAAAATAATAAATAAATAAACAAGACTATCACAACTTCATAAAGAAAAATTTGGAAAATAGAGAAAAGTGGGGGGGGTGGAAATCACTCCTTCCCCTACCTCCCATATCTGGAAAAAAAGGACCATTGTTTATATTTGCTGTATTTCTCTCAGATTTCCTTGCTGGACGCGGTCCTGTTATATAAAGTGGTGGTTAGAACACACTGAGTGTGACCAGGGCTGAATCCACTCCCTACCTGAGTGAGCCTCAGTCTCCAAACCTGTTACTTGGAAGTGATTTCCATCCCCTCGGGGTTGTGTATGGGTTAACTCAGACCAAACAGGGAAAGCACCCAACCCAGAGGAAATAACACTCAGTAAATGACAGCTATTGTTACTATTTGTAACCTGCCATTTCCCTTAACATTTTAACATCATTGATTTTGAATGCTATTCAGAGTCTTTGAAAACATCACATTTATTGGTTGCTGTATATACTGGTGTCTTTGCCATTCTCTTATGAGAAATGTTTTCACTGTTTCCATTTTTACCTTCTTATAAATAGCCCTAGGATGAACACTGTTGTGGATCTAGCTATGCTTCCTCTGTATTTTGGAGATTTTCCTTAGGATCATTTCCCAGAAGTGGAATTACGAGGTCAAAGGGTAATAAACATTTTTAGATTTCATATACATCACACCTGACTGCACAAAGCAGGTGTGATTTCCTATACCTAACCTTCCCCACCTTTTACGATTTCCAGAACCTTCCTGCCCACCTCATCCTCCCTGGAAATGACACCTGGCTGCCTCCTACCTCCCTGTCTCCTTCAGCTACAAATCTTTCTCCTTCCTCTGCCTTGAATAAATCCTCTCTGGTTTTCAACCCTTACACCTTCCCCCAGTCCTTCCTAAGGTCAGGAACAAAGTCGTGGGTTCCTCTTCCTTCCCCACTCAGCACAAGGCTGAGTGCTATGGCACTAAAACCTAGTCCCAATTTCACAGATTTGTGGGGCAAACCATCTTCCTGGGGCCAGCTGTGGGCCAAGCGAGGGAATGGTGGCTACAGGGGCCTTAGAAGCTGACTCTCGTCAGGGGAGAGAGGGAAACATAAACAATCACGTGCACCCACGGAGGACAGGGGCTTTGAAGCAAGTTCATAACAGAGGAGAGAAAAGGAGGCTCAGCTCAACCTGGTGGGCTTTGCTCAGGGTGTGATCCTTGTTGAATGTCTTTTTTTTTTTTTTTTTTTTTTTTTTGAGACAGAGTCTCACTGTTGCCTGGGAGTGAGTGCCATGGCGTCAGCTTAGCTCACAGCAACCTCAAACTCCTGGGCTCAAGCGATCCTGCTGCCTCAGCCTCCCGAGTAGCTGGGACTACAGGCATGCACCACCATGCCTGGCTAATTTTTTCTATATATTTTTAGTTGGCCAATTAATTTATTTCTATTTTTAG